GAACCGCCTCGAAGAGCAGACCCAGACTGTGTGGCTCTCTATCCTGGACCTACCCCCGGTAGCTCTGTGACCTTAAGTGACTTAGTTCAGTGCACCTTAGCGTCTTCATCTCTAAAACAGGGATGAAAGCAGAACCTTCCTCACAGGGCATCATGCGCACTGAATTAGCATTTACTATATGTAAAGTTCTTAACGCAGTGCCTGGCACCCACTAAGTGCTCAGTGTCTGCCTGAGCTGACAAAAGCACGGCTCAGAGAGGCCACGCAGGGCAGCGGTGGACGGAGGTCTGAGGCCTGGCCTTAGACTCCAAGGCCCTTCCCACCCCCAGCCCCTTGCAGCTCACCACGGGCAGATGGCCAGCCCCTGACTCTGAGTGCAACCCCCCAACCTACAAAATCCCACCCTGCAGTCCTGCCCACCCCCAGGCAGAGGCTCTTCAGGGAATTATTTCTCCCAGACTCTAAGGAATGTTATTTTCTCTTTACTTGGTGTCTAGATTACTCATTTCCAGTCCTGCTTTCAAGTGGCCTCCGAGATGAGCTCTGATTAAATTCCCATAAAACCACAGGCAAGAATGCTGAGTCTTTGGCATGCACACCCCCTCGCCAAGGAGGCCTGGCGTCCAGGACAGGCCATCTGTCACCTACAGCCCATGTGTGGGAGCTTCTGGAGAGCCATCCCTCCGCCCACAGTCAACAGAGCTGTCAAAGACCTCTCCAGCCTGCTGCCCTGTGGCCCGAGACCCTCCGCATCTGCTGTCCCTGGGGAAAGAGCACAAACCCAGGCCACCCAATCACGGTCCAGGTGCCTTCTCGCACGTGGCTGCAGCCAGTTCCGCAGCCAGCTAGAGTCTCGCCCAGAATCGCTCAGTCTGGGGTGGCGACTGGCCTTGGTGTTTCCATCTCTGGACCCTGGCCCTGTGTGGCAGAGTGAGCAGCCAATGGAAGACACGGCCTGCAAACGCATGTCAGGCAAATCACAGTTTGTCACTGTGGGCTCCTCCCTCCCTCTCCCATGCCTGCACCAGGCAAGGCTCAATTTCTAGGAGGCTTCTGTGCGTGGTTTGAAATGCATCCAGGCTCAGTGTTGCCTGTGCCTCTGCCTAAGGGACGTGGGTGTGCGTGCAAGCGTATCCCCCAAGTGGCTGCCTCCCAGAAGCCATCATCTACGAGGGAAAACCCAGGGGCGTGTCCCTCTGCAAGCCTCTAGGTCTATCGGTCTCCAGCAGCTACACAGATGGGACTGCCACAAGTTCACAGGCTGAGGCCACACCCCTGGCCATCCAGAGGAGGAACGGTCTTTCCAAGGTCTTCACCCATGGGCAAGGGGGGACCCCAGGCAGGGGCCCACGTCTTGGGAGGTGACATGGCAGATAGCTCACAATTCTCCAAAACTCACTCTAGCCTTTCTTCCCACGATGACAAAACCACTGACTTAGCTGGGTACATGGCTGTCCAGAACAAGGCCTGTATTTCCCAACTCCCTTGCAGCTCAGTAGGTAACTAATTCTTGCCAGGGATGTAAGAACAGAATGCCATGTTGTAGCTTCCAGAACCCTTCCTTAAATGACAATGAGGGCTTGTTCCCCTTTGCTTCCTTGTTCTTAGCTGCACTGTCCATCCTACTGTTTAGATCTCGGATACGAGAAGTTCAGCCACCCTCTGGCCCGGATACAGGCTGACAGATCTGAGGCAGAGCAATGACCATGTTCCCCTCCAGCCTCTGGCTTAGATGAGCTCTGAAAACGTGGGATTGAAACGGCACCGACCAAAGGCTGCCCAGAGACCCAGACAGGCAGGCCGCGAGCTCAGGAGCAGGCCTCACCCGCCTCCCTGACGTGGACGGGGAGGGAGAGGTTCTCCACGCAGGTGCTCTGCAGGGAGACAGATGGCCCACCCAAGTGTGGACGCTCGGGGCAAGTGCTCTGCCTGCTATCCTGGGTTGGCCTCCCCATGAGCCACGGCCCTCTCCCCACCCCCGCTGTGGAGCAAGGGGCCCTGATCGCCCCCTCCCCCTGCCCATCAACAAGGACCCAGGCAGCCCTGCAGCAGCCCCCTGCCAGCTCTGTTCCCTGCAGCCGCTCGGTTCTCTGAGAACAGGGAGAGCAGCCTTAGCAGGAGGGATGGTGACAACTCAGGAAGTCTTGCCAAGCCCCTTCTCCCAACACAAAAGCAGTGTCACTTAGATTGCTATTATTATCTGAGGGAACTTCAAGGGTAATTATGGCCATTTACCATACGCCTAAAAGGGCTGCAGGCCTCCAGGAATAGCAGGGAGTGGGACGGAGGAGGGCCCAGGATGCACCTCCCAGGAAGCCCGTGCTGCCTTTGCAGAGGGCAGGGGAGGGACCCAAGCAGGGACCCCCCCCCCGCCAGCTGGGGAAGGGAAAGCCCCCCTGGCGGGCAGCCCCGGGGTGGGCAGGAAAGGGCTCCAGGAAGTCCCAGCCTCCAACCGCCCTCCTGGAAGAATGCAAGCCCAGGCTCGGCACACATGATAAGGAAAATCCAGGGTGCAGCACTCAGGGCCCACCCATCCAGCACTTCCTGCCGGTCTAGGACTGAGCGCCCAAGTGTGCTCTAGGCTTTGGCCAACAAGCCCTCACAGGACCTCAAGGGGACTGGACCCTGTCCTGGATGCCCCACACCTCGCCCCTGGTGGGCAGCTCCTGAACTTTGTAATCCCCCAACTGAACTGGGACATTCCCTTGCCCACAGATCCTGACCTGTCCCCTCAGGCCCCCAGGAGAAGCCACACTCCCGTGTCTGGCAAGCATGAGACAGAGCTCCGGCTGCCTACTCCTGGGCCTGCCTCTCCTCGCGCTGTTCACGCGCTGCCTCCTGCGCCTGCCGCGGTCCAGCCTCATCCCCAGCTCGTGCTCCCTGACCACCTGTGCATGCTCACACCCCGAGCTCAGGCTCACTCTGAGCCCCATCCCTGATTTTTTCTCCTGAAAACCTGAGACACTCTAAGACCCAATCCAGATGCTTGGGCCCTGCCGTCGTGGTAGTGGCAGCATCAGCTGCCGTTCCCGGGTGACCCGGTGGGCCAGGCGCCGTGCTAGGTGCTCTACAGATGTCATCCCAATGATCCCGACAGTTGTGATGAATCAGTTATCACCCACATCTTTCAGACCACAGGCAGAAGCGGAGCCAGTGACCTGAGACCACACGGCTAGCTCGTGCCCAGACCCACACCTAACTTCTGTCTGTTTCCCTCTAAACCCTGTGCCTTTAGCTCTGAAAAAGCCCCTCGCAGCACTTCCCGAATCCCTCCAGATGTGTGGCTCTTCTGATGGACGAGTCCGGGACCTGAGACGTGGCTGCTCACCTACCGTCTTCCTCCGCCAGTTGGGCCTTCTCGCATTTTAATACTATCCGCGGTCCCTTCATCGTCAGCGTCCCTTCATCCAACAAACATGCCTACTGGAAAGAGACTCCTGTCCTTCCAGAACCAACGCTTGGCCAAAACGTCACCCACAGCAGACTGTGGTGAAGATGGTACAAGGAGGGGACGTTCAGAGATAACATCACTGCAGCTCTTTCTCCCCATCTGGACTCTGGACGGATCCAGGAAAGGAACGCAGAGGCAGGGGAGGTTGACGGCAGAGGCTGACCACGGCGGGCCATGCAAGAAGGCCGGCTGGCGTGCGAGAAAGTCTGCCCATGTGGGGCCCAGGATGACACCCGCATTCTCTACACCCTGCTGGTGAGTGTCGGGCACCCAGGGAAAGAGGCCTGGGGCTCCTTTCAGGACAGCCGGGCCTGGTAGCCTGCCCTCCTGCAGGGCACTCCTCAGAGAGAGGACCGACGGCTCACCAACTCTCGGGCCCAAGGTCCTCAGCTGCACCCACGTCAGGTACTTGCTAGATTCATGGCCCTCTGGCCGTGGGTGTGAAAGTTGAGCTTAGTGGGTAGGGGCCGGGGAGCCTGAGCCAGAGAGACCTGGAGGGTTGCTGGCCTGGCCACCTGTATGCTGTGTGGTGTCAGCATATCTGCTAACCCTTCAGAGCCTCTGTGACTCATCTGCAAAGTGGGAAGGATCGTGGTGCTCACCTTTAAGAGCAACAAAAGAGAGAATATCGGGAGAAGGCCTAACCCAAAGCCAGGCACACAGCACATACCCAATAAATGCTGCTCCCGTATTCCCACGATGGTCCCCTTGCAGAGGGGCTGCCTCTGGCCTTGTAAGCCAAACTGGACCTGCTGGTCCGACCACCACAGGAGATGATGCCTAGGGCCAAGTCACCATCCAGGTCAGGGCTCAAGGCAGCCAGGTCAGGCCACAGTCACGGTTTATATGGCAGGGAGCAGGGGCTGCCCCTTCTGGCCCTAGGATGAATCCCCACACAGCCCCAGGGCCTAGGCAAAGTACTTCTCCTTCAAACTAACAAGAGCCCTCAGCAGGTAACACAGCAGGCAAAGAGAACTAGAAGGTTACCATTAACAGGAAATCTTTCTAAAAAGTCCTTCTTACACAAACACACACCTTGAAAAGGCAGCCTTCCCTCCTCTGGAGCTGCATGCTCCCGGGGTAGGGAGATGAGTCCCCGGGGACAAGAGCCTGCAGCTGGCAGGGGACGCTCACAGCTAAGAGGGAGGCTCCCACATGCAGGAACAGAGCGTACCCCGCCAGGTCCAGCAGCCACGTCACATGTCTCCGTGTGTTTGATTAAGGGCCCTTCATTTCCGTCTGTCTCCTTGGCCCGGCTGCGTAACTCCACTCGCCTGCGTGCCGCTGAGCCGTCTACACACACTCTGCTCTCTGACCGCTGTGTCATCGGGGCGCTGCATCACCACCCCCTGGGCTCAACGCAGCCCCCAGAGCCACTCTCCCAAAGAGCACACTGAGGTCACAGGAGGACAATGACAGGACCTCCCTGGAACGACTGTCCTCATGGCATTCAACTGCTTCCTGTCCTAAAGTACCTAACAGGTTGAGTCCCTTGGCCCCCGCTTCACACGATGGCCTGCCGTGGACGGCGAGCCACATGCGTCCATACCTTCCATGTAGGCCTCAATCTTCCGGATGAGCTCGTAGGACTTGGAGCGGTCCAGCAGGGTCCTGATGGCAGGGAGGGGGTCTAGGACGATGGTCTCGGGGTGCGCATCGATGTATTCCTGAAAGAAAAGCACGCTCCTGCTTAGAAACCAGAGGCAGCGCTGAGCAACACTTTCCCCTCCAGCCCTCCTAGCCCCCAGCCCACCAGCCTGATTTCAGGGTGGGGCGTCACATCACTTTGGAGGGGCCCATCAGTGCACCCTGGCCCTGGGGCCGCGGCCACGGGAGAGACACGTGACCCCGAGTCGGTGCGTGCAGGGGCAGGCTCAGGGCTCTTGCTGGGAATGCTGGGAGGAGCCTGCTCCCGGCCTCACGGAGGAGCACAGAGGCCGGGCGCTGAGCGCAGTCACCACGACAACTTACAGGCCTGATGGAGGCAAGGCTCAGAAACGGAGCTGAGAAAGGGAAAGCAACCAGGTCCGGTCAGGTCGTTTGACCCCTGGATAAAGCCTCACCTGAAACCAGCTCTGTGGCACGTGCCGATTAAGCTCAATGAGTGGCGGCCCAGCACCCTGCGCTGGTGAGGACCCTGCGGCAGGGCCGGGGGGCAGTGGACCGAGGCTGGGAGTCATCAAGTCTGTGGGAAGGCGTGGCAGAAAGAAACCCACCACAGGGCGGCCGCCCGCCACCAACACTCAAGTATTTCGCTTCAACACCTACCAAGTTCCATGGTAGGCACTAAGGAAATGCAAGAGGAACTCTGAGAAAAATCATAGTTTTTAAGAAATCTATAATATCCGTCGGGAAATAACCCTAATTTACATGGGAAAAAAGATGCTTTAACGATAACAAAATTCAATAAAATACAGGACAAAATGTTTCTAGGAAAACAACAGGCGGAGAGACAGAAAAGCCCCAGGGATCCTGGTATTGCCACTTGTCCCCTTTGTGACAAGCCACCTGGGAAGGCCAGAGCAACTTGGGTGGACACAGTAAAAGAGACCATCCCTCTGGCTCTAAAACTCTGACCCTAAGGACAGAACTGTGGAACGCTGGGGTGACCAGAGAGGGCCTCCGGGGAAAGGCGGGGCTCCAGGAAGCCATTCCCCAGCTGCTGTGGGTTGAATGCATCCCCCAAACACCATCCACATCCCAACCAATGCTCTGGTACCTGTGGTTGTGTGGCCTTATTTGGAGAGAGGGTCTTTGCAGATGTAAGCAAGTTAGAGTGAGGCCATGCGGGACATGTGTGGGCCCTAACCCACTGACTGGTTTTCTTTCTTATAAGATGAGGGACATTTGGACCCAGACACGCAGGGACAAGGCCCTGTGAAGACAGGCACTGAGTGAGGCCTCTGCAAGCCAGGGAATGCCACAGACTGCCCCCGCCCACCAGAAGCCAGAAGGAGCATCGAACAGATTCTCCTCTGCAGCCTCCAGAAGGAGCCGCCCTACTGACATCCTGACTGAGCGGGGTTAGCCTCCCCAACTGGGAGAGTTTCTGATGTGTTAAGCCACCGAGCTGTGAGGCTTGGTCACAACAGCCCTAGGAGAACAACACACCAGCCGAAGTCACCCACCGCCCCCACCCAGTCCACGGCTCCAGGCTGTGAGGGAGCAAAGGCGGGGGGGGGGGGCATCCACAGGCTTCTTTTCTAGTAAACCTTATCAACAAAAAGAAAGATCCATTTAGAATTAGTTTTTTACAATGAACTCACTTTGGTTCCTAGTAATCATTTTTAAGAGCTCTCAACACAAAAGCCAGAGATTCATGCCCACTCTTAGGCTGAAATCTCTCCCTCTGTATTTCACGCAGGAGTACCTGGCTCCTGGCTCTTTTCCCTCTTTTTCTCTGAATCTTGAAAAAAATCCCTCTGTCCCTAAGTGGTGGCCGGAGTGCCATCTGGGGCGGCCTCACATCCCCCTCTTGTGATTGCAGGAGACCTACCCGCTCCCGTACCTCAATCCGCACACGCGTGCTGCAGGCCGCCGGCAGGAGCAGCTGCCCCCAGGGCCCCCCCCACGCCCTCAGAGACATGACGGGCAGTGCGTGGACTTGACCCTCGACCAGCTGCCTGCACAGTACACAGCTGCTGCACGCTCAGAGTGCGGGGCCAGCCCAGAGCTCTCCCCAGGGAAGCGTTTACCCATAGTTGCCGTCGGTCCTGCCGGTTTCCCACCCCACCAGTCTCATCCTCACCAGATCCTGCACTTGAGCCCCCGCCTCTCGGCTAGGGGCTCCCCGCGGGCAGCTATCTTTCTTGGCCCCATTCCTTTATCAGAGTTTGTTCTACTGAACCCCGTCTGTGGTTCCATGAGAGCATGTCGTGCATGGGACCCTCCCCACACAAATGTATGGGATCATGTTCAGGTTAATGGTTCGTGTTAAAGGTTAAATGTTAAAGGTCATCCACTTAAGCTGCCCGTCTCGGGCAGTGCTCCGGACACGTGCGGGGTGCAGCACACACGCCTATGCTTCACTCCACTGGATCTACATGTAATCCTGCCCAGCCACAAGCCCCGAGTCAGGAACTGAAGTCAGTAACTCAGCTGTCCTCATTTCTCACCCCTAAACACACCAGGGAGCAGCCTGGGTCGTGGGAGGGTTGTGTGACTAGGAGCCAAGAAACCCAGGCGCCCAGAGTTATCCATTCTCGCTGTCACCTTCAGGCAAGCCACTGGGCTGTCTGGGTCTTCTCACCTGTGACATGAGCAGTTACTGCAGGTGACCTTTAAGGTCCTTGCAAAGATGACCTCACATCCTGTGGGTCTAAACTGACTGAGAAAATCAAGCGGCAGTGTTTGTAAAGGCAGACAGACTTCAAGGCTGCAGCGGGAAGCTTCTCTAGAACGGGACGGGCAGCTGCTTGCTAGAGGCATCGTAGGAACAGCAGGGCCACACCTGCGCTCCCTGCCTTCCTTCGAAGAGGAGGTGATATTGGAGACACTGGCTGGGATGGACGGACCAATTGTGTGTTGGGGCAGTGACCTTTGCAGAGTGAACTCAGAGTCATTAACACGTGAATTTAAGTCAAACTCATGAAGGAAAGAGGCTAGATGGAACCAAAAGGGAAAATATCTGAAAAGCAAGCGCCAAAAGCTTTTGACCAGGATGAAAGTGTCGGTTATTGTTCCCCAACACGATCCCTTCTGGGATGGAGACGGAGAGGACAAAGCATTTTTCTAATCACCCTGCTATCCACAAGTGTTTCCTGCCAAGCTTTTCAGCTTATCTACTAGATCGAAGGCCTCATGCATTTTTCACATCTCTCAGAATTACCAAACAAACTGCTGGAAGGGTGTGCACCCTGTACCATTTTATCAGCACTCGGAGGAAGAAAGGCCCAAACTATCTCCAAGGTGAACGGTAAACACCCGTTCCCTGGGGGGCCCGCACTGCCCCAGCACACCCGGAGAGGGACCCTGGGAGCTAGCAAGGATAGCAGGGGCCAGGAGGGCCAGCGGGAGGGATGCAAAACACCTGCGGCTGTGCCCAGCCAGGCGCCGCCCGGAGCACAAACCCTCCCAGGCTTTTTTCAGATGTCCCAAGCCCCCCGTGTGATGCCCACAGGGGCACCTGGCCCTCTGCTAGGCTGGCAATGAGAACCTGAGCCAAAGGAGGACAAGATGAACATGAGAGATATGACTTCCTGTGCAGTCCTGCAGGTGGGAAGTGAGTGGGGAGTGAGGCACAGAGATTCTCCTATCTAAGGGAAAATGTCATCAGAAGTCTCGAGTTCAAATTCTGCCTCTGCCATTTACTCTTGTCTGGAAACAAGAAGCTGGAGTTAATGCTCTGAGCTCCTCCTTTATTTGAAATGGACATTTTACACAGGAGGATTGTCTCTTGCTGCCCAGGCTGCTCCCTACTGTGTTTAGGGGAGGGGAGTGAGGACAGCTGTTAGCCTTCATTCATGACTCTGTGCGCACCACAGAGACGGCAGATGGGAAAGGAGTGCGCAGAAACAAAATGGAAAGGATTCCATTATTCTACAACACCTGGACTCTTCCGGGCAAGCCCGACCGAGACCCCTCGGCTCACCTGGCCCTCTCGGTCCAGCAGAGCGAAGGGCAGCCGGGCTGCTGAGGCCTGAGCACATGCTCCTGCTGGCGCCTAGGGCTGCACACGACCCCCCGCCCCACAGCAGCCCAGGGTCCAGGCTGGGATGCTCCGGGGATTCATTTCTAGAGATGGACACTAAAACTATCTGCAGATTAAGTATGATGTCTGTCTGGGATTAGCTTCAAAACAAGCGGGTACAGGAGGCAGGGAGAAAAGTAGGTGAGGTAGACACGAAATGAGTGGCCACAAGTTGCTGACTCATGAAGCTGGGAGATGGTGCCTGGGAGTACATAACAGCACTCTCCCTTCTCAAATATTTTTAACTTTTCCATAATACAAAATGTGGGGCCGGGCGCGGTGGCTCACGCCTGTAATCCTAACACTCTGGGAGGCTGAGGTGGGCGGATTGCTTGAGGTCAGGAGTTCGAAACCAGCCTTAGCAAGAGTAAGACCCCATCTCTACTATAAATAGAAACAAATTAATTGGCCAACTAATATATAGAGAAAAAAATGATCTGGGCATGGTGGTGCATGCCTGTAGTCCCAGCTACTCGGGAAGCTGAGGCAGGAGGATTGCTTGAGCCCAGGAGTTTGAGGTTGCTGTGAGCTAGGCTGATGCCACAACACTCACTCTAGCCTGGGCAACAAAGCGAGACTCTGTCTCAAAATAAATAAATAAATAAATAAATAATAATAATAATAATAAATTGGTGGGGAGGTAACTAGGTCATCCCCTTCTTCTACCCTGCACCCCATCTGTGCCAGCAATTGATTTAAAACATCAACTTTATCTTTCAAGAAGGAACAAGAGGCAGCTACAAAGATGGGAAACATGATGAGACATTAATGATGGTAAAGATGATAAATAAAAATAATCATAATCAATAATCATTTAAAAATTAAAACCATGGCCACTTACCTGGGACTTGCTATATGCACACTGCTGGATAAAAGGGTTTCTAATAACCTTTTAATACAAAAATCTTATTGGGTAAAAGCTCAAACTATAAAACTCTTAGAAGAACACACTGCCATAGACCTTCATGACCCTGCATT